CAAGCAGGTGCTAGTCTTCAACCTTCCAAGAATCTTGTCCATATCCTCAGACTGAAAAAAACTGAAAAGAATCCCAAACAACTGGACAAGTTGGGACCATGGCACCATCTGACCCTGTTACTGCTAATGTAGAATCCAAGTAAGAACGGATGCAAGAGATTTTATCTGGAAAGTGCTGAGCAAAACAATATCAGTGGGCCTCCAATGCAGTGGACCTCTTCTACAGGTCAGATCCCCAAAGGCCTCTGACTATCCTCTAGCCTATTTAGCTTCACTGACTTTCACTGTGCAGATGGCGGAGGAAAAGTGTTGTTTCTTTGCTGCCATCATCACCATGGAGTACACTTTAAAATGAACTGTCACCTTTGTTTTATTGGATTTGTAGTCATCTCTGTTATCTTTTCTCTGTTGTCTTGGATTTGTAGTAATCTCTGTTGTCTTTCTATTGCCTGCAGCCCCTCAAAGGGCTGCCTGGACTCTAACACTACAGGGTATCTATCTATCTATCTATCTATCTATCTATCTATCTATCTATCTATCTATCTATCATCACGTTTTGCTTGTTGAAATATACAAACGAAATTGTTCATAGCAAGTGTATAAAATATCTGATGTGAGATTAATCTCATCTGTTTTCAGAAGTAACTTAAAGGAAATTCTAGGACCAGATCTAACAAAACTGAAGTCACTTTTCATAGGCACAGTAATTACATTAATGTAAAACAAAATGTTCAAGACTCTTCTCTCTACTGGGCGGAAAATATTTTCATCATCACATTAGCTGATGTTAGCATTTTCATATCTCTTGAACCAATGCAGGGCTATATTAAGAGTACCTTCATTTTACACAAAGGAAACACCAGTTTACTCACTGGAGTTGATTTGGTCTATCATAGATTGGGGGACCTGCAAGGGGGGTATCTCCCCTTTTCCTGCTTCCCTGTCTCCTTCCTACCTACCAGCCAGCCTACCTTTATCTGCCCTATCTCCATCTTCAGTTTTTCCTCATTCCCTCCCCCTGAAAGACTCTCCCTGAGAAAAATGTGGCCCAGTTGTATGGTGCCAGCCTGGCTTATGGGCTGCATCCAATTGCATGGTGCCACCAAAATGGAAAACCTGCAAGGACTTGCAGGGGAGGGGGTACCTCATTATATTTTGTTATCTGTATTCCCCTCCACATACTATTTCTTTTTTCTCTTCTCTTGGCAGCTCCCATACTCTCTCCCATTTTGCTCTTTCATTATCTTCTTCCCGCTCTTCAACCAACCTATCTTTTACCTGCCTCTCATCTTCAGCTATATTTATTTCATTCATACCCCATCTTTTTCCACAATGGGAACCCAAAGCAGCTTATATCACTCTCCTCCATTTTATCTTAGAATCACAGAATCACAGCATTGGAAGGGGCCAAGGAGGCCATCTAGTCCACCCCCTGCGCGATGCAGGATTAGCCCAGAGCATCCCTGACAAGTGTTTGTCCAGCTGCTGCTTAAAGACTGCCAGTGAGGGGAGCTCACCACCTCCCTAGGCAGCTGATTCCACTGTTGTACAACTCTTACTGTAAAAAAGTTTTTCAAAATATCTAGCCAGTACATTCCCACCCATTATTGTGAGTCCTATCCTCTGCTGCCAACAGAAACAGCTCCCTGCCCTCCTCTAAGTGACAGCCCTTCAAATACTTAGAGAGCAATCATGTCCCCCCTCAACCTCCTCCAGACTAAACATTCCCAAGTCCCTCAGCATTTCCTCATAGGGCTTGGTCTCCAGGCCCCCATTCATCCTCATTGCTCTCCTCTTCATAACAACCCTGTGAAGTAGGTTAGGCAGAAAGAGAGTGACTGACCCAAAGCTGCCCAATGAGCTTCCGTGGTAGAATGGGGATTCAAACCTGAGTCTCCAAGATCCTAATGAAACTCTAACCACTACACCAGAGTGGCTTTTGTGAGGTGGTTGCGTAGAATAGTAGCGAGCAGCCACTCCTGGGTGAGTCATGCAAGACATGTGGTACCAATTCACCCACTGATTGCTGCTTGGGTTGCCCCCAATGATACCTCCCTCAAGGACCACAATAGCCCTGGAACGGGCCCTTCCCTCTGCCTTTTATTGACAGAGACCAAGGCTTGAAGCCTGGCAATACTATTTGGTTGCCTAGCAGCAGCCACTGAGAGCAATTATTTCTTAAAGCTTCAGGTGCTGCTTCTATCATTTTGTGGGGTTTTATTCCCCCAGTTTTTTTGGGGGGTTAGATTTTGATTTTTCTGCAAATCTGGAGCTTTCCTCAGGTTTGTTGAAAGATCTGTCCTTTCTGTACATGGCTCCAGTCTCCAGATTCAAATATCCACAGATGGAGCCATGTTGAAAATGAGATATACTGATATCCCCCAAGAATCTCTCATGCCTTTAAAAATCATTTCGGCTACTGGCTGTCACCAAATCTTGTGACAGTTAATTCCATGGAAAACAGTATTATAACCTGTGGCTACAGTGGTCATACAGAGGCAAAGCTCCACATCTAACACACAAAGCCATATACTCCTGTGCTACAGTTGAGGTCCATCTCTACTTGCCCCAAGGTCATCTTAAGCCTCTCAAGTTTTAAATGAGGCTCAACTTATACAGTAATAGAACACTCTGGGAACTGTGTTGTTGTGATTGGATTCAAAGACATTATGGTAACATCTATCAAGAAGGATTCCATCTAAGGAGTGTGGCTCCAGCCCATGATGGTATTGTTGGCCTCTGCCAATAAGTGCTAACAGTGTGGGAAACAATTAACAGTGAAATCCAATGCAGAGTTACAGCTTTCTAGAACCACTGATCTCAAAGGGCTTAGAAAGGTATAACTGCTTACGGTGGCACTGTAGATAATTCAGCCTCACAATAGAGGTCAAGAACCAGGTGAATATTTTGGGTATAATTTCAAGTGTTTTCAAGGGCAGTGAGAACAAAGTATGTGTCTTTCTGTTTTATACCATAGACATAACACGTACATGATAACAGTGGCTAACATGAAGCTAAAAGGTGCCAGAATTTTAAAAAGAAAAAAGAAATTTTCATCTCTTACTGGACCAATTCTTTTTGTTGTATAATTAATGGGCAACCCTCCAACATACAGCATTCCCACAACATCCAAAATATCTGCTTTCTTTGGGCTAGTTGTGCTGTTTCTGGCATCATCTACTACAAAGACACCTTCTTGTTTGGATCGAATTACATTTATCTGGGAAAAAAACATAGAAATAGTATATTATTATCATGCACTTTTAAAAGAAACGCTAAGTGTGCTTTAAAAAAAATATGGTACCTTGGTCTAAGGCTTGCTATACAACCTCTCAGATTAGAATGGCCATTTTCCCTAGGTCTGCAAGAGCTTCCTTTCAGATAAATGATATAATTTAAACTGTAAGCCTCTTAAGGGCAGGGACTGACCTTACTTTTTCTTTTCTTTTGCTTATGAAACTCTGCAAAAAGTGTGCTGTATTCATACAGTATAATGAAATAAAGGACAGAATGACAATGATAAACAGTACAGTGTTTGGTTGGGTTATGCTGAAAGACTTGTGCAGAATCAAGCCCTCTAAATGTGAAACATGGCCTTTTTTTAATGCCTGAAAGGCACTGAATCTAGAGGTCCATCATGAGATCATACCTTGTGCCATAAGCCATCATTTATTTTGTTGGGAATCATTGTGCTTGTGTTTCCACTTCCCAAGTCATATTTGAAGTATGGAAAACCATTCTGTATCTGAACAGTTGCAAAATCAGCATGGTTGATCCGGGCCATGTAAAAAACCAAGCCAGATTCAGCCTTCGTTCTGATCTCAAATTCAATTGTGAGTCTACACATTTGAAAAACGAAAAAGAAAGGGGAAAAAAATGTTAAAGCTAACCAGCAGAAATGATTAATCTCTTTCATCGTCCACTTATTGCCATATACTTGGCGTTGCTAGTAGGTGAATTAATTTTAAGGCATAGGAAATCTATATACCAACAAATCTATATACTATATATCAAGCTGGCCAAATTTTAGGATATTTAAATCCGGTGTGAACAGGCAAGACAGATCTTTCCACAAACCTGAAAAGGACCCCAGATTTGCAGAAAAATGTGAAATCTAAAAAAATAAAAAATAAAAAGAAATTGGGGATGTTAAAAACTCCAAAAGGATAAAAGAAGCACCTGTAGCTTTAAGAAACAGATTCCGTCAATGGCTGTTGCTAGGCAACCACAGCAATCATGTTTGGTTCTACCACCTAAAGGCAGGGAGTGGGGGCAGGGCCCTTTCCAGACCTATTTTGTCTTTGAGGGAGAACTCCTTGGGGCCAGGCCTGGCTAGGGTTGTTAGCTCCAATTTAGGAAATTCCTGGCGATTTTGTGGTGGAGTCTGAGGAGGACAGGGTTTGGGTAGGGGAGAGGCCTCAGCCAGATATAACGCTATAAAGTCCACCCTCCAAAGCAGTCATTTTCTCCAGGGGCACAGATTTCTGGGAAATTTCCAGGTCCCACCTGGAGGCTGGAAACCCTAGGCCTGCAAGCAGCCGCTAACTTGCATGATTCCACTAGACCTGGCTGCTTGCTACTGTTCAACAGCAGCCAGCCTATGAAAGCCAGTGTGGTGCAGCACTTAGAGCTTTGGAGTAGGGTCTGCAAGATCCAGGTTTGAATCCCTATCTTGCTTGGAAGCTCACTGGGTGACTTTGGACCAGTCTCATCGTTTCAGCCTAACCTAACAGGGTTGTTGTGAGGATAAAAAGCAGGAGAGAAGAATAATGTAAGCTGCCTTGGTCCCCATTTGGAGAAAAGTGGGGTATAAATGCAGTAAATAAATAATAAATACCGGTGAAGATGGGAGGCAGATAAAAGGTAGGTTAGTGAATGGCTGAGAAGGCTAGAATCAAGCAAGTAAAGGAGAGGGATATGGGGGTTGCCAGGAGGAGAGAAAAAGGAAATAGTTTGGGGAGGGGGATACAGGGGAAAGTGAAGTCCCCCACAAGTCCCTATCATGCAAGTGGGCTTTGCCCAGTGATGGGAAGAGAAATAATCATTTGTAATCTGGAAAATTTTCTCTCTTCTAGCTACCCCTAACATGTATTTCTAGATTTAATTTTAATTTTTTTAAGCCTTCTACATGTGGTTAAACATGATTAGTTAGTCTTTAGTTGGGTAATAATAGTAGTGTTAGTACAAATATTTTACAAGAAAGTAAAACAGGGTGAAAGGCCCTAGAAAATATGAAGTTACCTGAATAAAAGGTTACTCCAATTGGTTAGGTAATTGTTTAAAGAGTAAAAGCAAGAAAATAAACACATAGTGCTATTATTATAATTTATAGGTAGCTAAGTAGGATGTAAGGAAATAGATAAATGAAAGGAAACTTGAGGTTATTAGTGTAATTGGGTGTTGCCACCTGTTAAGTAAGGGTTGGGGGTAAGGTTTAAGAGAAAAACAGAAATAAGTACTGGTTTGGTAAACCTAAGAATTAGTCAATAAGAGGGTATCAGAACAAAAGGGTATTGCTACTGGTCAAGTAGATGTTGAAAAAGAATAGGTAAGAAAATAAGCATATAGTGACATTAATAGAAATAAATTACAGGATAGTAAAGTAAGAAGCAAGGAAATGGAAAGTTGAGGTTATTTAAATATGTCAGTACTGATCATGGTTAGGTAAATCTCAAAAGAAATTAGAAAGGAAAACAAGTTATATTTTGGTAAATTAACAGATATAATTTCTAGTAGGGTTAAATATGAACCAACCTGTTTGGGTAGATGGAAGGATGTGGGCTTCTTTTCAAAAACGCAATGATTTTGTTTATAGAATGCAAATGTTAATTTTGAACTGCCAACAGAAAATGTAAATCTGACAAACTATATAACTAATAGTCAGATTTTTTGAACTGATAGTTTTAGTTGTTTGAAATATGTGTTGAGCTGTAACTTGCCTCAGTTACAGTTAAGAGGAGGAAAAATTATAATGAATTTGTTATGTTAGGTCTGAATACTGTGTTGAAGTTATAAATTTACTGTCTCATTCCATTTGTTATGTTTGAAAATCCAATAATAATAATAA